GCTATAAGAATTATTTTGTTCCTTTGGCGACAGGATTGTTAAACTCAAATGTGAAAAGCATAAGGACATGATTGCTTACAAATGCAGGAATCTTGTTACGTGGTCTATCTGTATTGCCCAAAACTAATTTCCCTTATGAGGAATAAATAAAGTAAATAATAATAACACTAGCGTTAAGCCATTCGGCAAAGCCGGCCCAGGCTCATGTAGATAGCAAACACACGGTCTCACGGCTCTCTGGAGCAGCAGCAGTACTTATGTCTTGGCAATAGATCTGCTTGTTCTGGGGGGTTTTATCTTTTATATTTCTTCTGCCTTATATTGATGATTTTAAGCATATTATTGTATAGCAGCAACATACATATTTAAGTGTTTTGTTTTCTTCTTCCAGCTTTGTTGGGGGGCTATTTTATGCTATTTGTGCAGCAGCAGTATGTCTTAAATACTCACGGCACTGTATTGCCAAATACATTGGCAGTAGCAAGTTTCTGTACGTGCTTGGGTTACCCCATTGACGACGTTTGAGAACAAAAAAAATGAATATATGGTGTGACATCATCAGGTCACATGATCAGAACGTTATATATATCTCCAAGATGCTTCAAGAGACCTACCTGCAAAGCTACCAGAAAAACTATGCACATCTATTACTTTGCAGGTAGGTTTCTTGAAGCATATTGGAGACGTTGCCGCAGTTCTTCTGGATTTAGTCTGTCTCAGTTTATTCTGTTTTTTATCATGTCATTCCAGACAGACTGGATAATGATGCGATCAGATCTCTGTGTGGAGCACTGGCTGTTGTCAGACTACTTGTGCAAACAAAAATCTCACTGGATTATTACAATTAATGGCAAAATTAATGTTTGAAAATGTAAACTGATATTTCCTACTGACGCACTACAGCAAAAGATAGAAATAACTGACTTGAAATAATTTTTTGTTAGCGAAAATACTAGTGACCTAATCAAATGTTTATGATTATAATACAGTGGGTGTTGCAATATGAGGTCACATGACCAGGAAGTTATATAATATGAATATTTGAAAAATTCACCAAAAATAGCTTACACAAAATCATATTTCCAAAATCCAAGTCATGTATGATGTGTTAGAAGTGTTACTGAATATACTACAGATACCAGGTTTTATCTTTTATATTTCTTCTGCCTTATATTGATGATTTTAAGCATATTATTGTATAGCAGCAACATACATATTTAAGTGTTTTGTTTTCTTCTTCCAGCTTTGTTGGGGGGCTATTTTATGCTATTTGTGCAGCAGCAGTATGTCTTAAATACTCACGGCACTGTATTGCCAAATACATTGGCAGTAGCAAGTTTCTGTACGTGCTTGGGTTACCCCATTGACGACGTTTGAGAACAAAAAAAATGAATATATGGTGTGACATCATCAGGTCACATGATCAGAACGTTATATATATCTCCAAGATGCTTCAAGAGACCTACCTGCAAAGCTACCAGAAAAACTATGCACATCTATTACTTTGCAGGTAGGTTTCTTGAAGCATATTGGAGACGTTGCCGCAGTTCTTCTGGATTTAGTCTGTCTCAGTTTATTCTGTTTTTTATCATGTCATTCCAGACAGACTGGATAATGATGCGATCAGATCTCTGTGTGGAGCACTGGCTGTTGTCAGACTACTTGTGCAAACAAAAATCTCACTGGTTTATTACAATTAATGGCAAAATTAATGTTTGGACATGTAAACTGATATTTCCTACTAACACACTACAGCAGTGGTCACCAACCTTTTTAGGCCCAAGATCCCTGACCTCGGCCTTTATGAAAGACAAGATCTACTTATTG